CTACTCCACCTCTTCCTCCTCTTCTTTCCTCCTCCTCTTCCCAGCCCCCATGCCCCTTTGCCGGCCCTCTTACCCACCTGCCCCTTCACTGATTGCCACCCATTCTGACCCCAGGCCCCTGGTCCTGGACCCGGCTGACCCCACCTGGAACGTGGGTCAGGGCAACTGGGAGCCATTGGCCCAGGAAGCAGCAGCCCTGGAGACCCAGGCCTGCTTTCTGAGTGGAGACCGGACGCCTGTGGTGCCCTGGGACGTGATGGTGAGAAGCGGAGCCCTGCGGTGGTGGGCCCTGTGGGTACCCCCTCCCCTCTCCAGCTCTGCCCCTCCTCTCCCCAGCACTGCCTTCCTTCCTTCCTTCACCTGCCCTACCCCCTCCCCAGCTGCTAGGAATGCTGGCATCTCAGGGCTCCTAGCTGTCCCCTTCCTGGAGCCACCCCCCACTCCACCTGAGCCCACCTTGTGCCCTGGCCAGAGCCTGAGCGCTCAGACACACCACTGTTGATCCATTCTGACCCCTTGAGAGCCTAGAGGAGAGGGTAGGACTGCACCTGGGGGGCTGTGAGGCCCCTGTCATCTTTACAGGAGAAGAGCAGCAGAGGGGATTGAACCGCCAACCTTTGGGTTAACAGCTGAGAGCCACTGTGCCTCTGGGGCCCCTTATCGGAGTGCCAGGCACCAACCATTCAGCCTAAGACATCATCCTGCCAACTTTGAGATGCCACCCAGAGACACCCATATGTGTGTAAGAGAGAGCTTTATATCAAGAAGAAATTATGCATCAAACATCCCAGCCCAGTCCAGATCAAGTCCATGAGTTCAATATTAGCCCATAAGTCCGATGGATTCCTCTTGAGACTCACGCAGCACATGCAATGACGTCGAATGCAGGAAGACCACAGGCCCATCGGTGGAAAGTCTTGGGGATCCAGTGGTGGTGGAAGCATCTCAGTGCTGGCAGGGGTCTCCACGTGGCTCCTCCAGCTCCAGGGCTCTAGCACAGCTCCATGTATCTTCTCAACGGGAATATCTCGCCGGGAGTGTGTGTGTCCTGCCTTCAGTGAGCTGTTTATCTTCATAGCACCTCCAAATGAGGTCATCAAACAATGACCTGATTGGCAGGCTAAACTCTGCCCCTTCACTTTTAATAGTCTCAAGTTGGCACCAGATGATGTAACTACCACACCACCCATGGTCCAGGGCCCAGCTGAGACCCATCTTGGTTTAGCACCTCCCTGGTCCTCTCCTCTCCATGGTCACACCCCACTGCTTTCACAGGCACACCCCAGTTAATCGCGCACCTGAGACTTGTGTCTCCGGCTCTGTTGTTAGAGCCCAGCCTAAGTCACAAGGTTGGCAGTTCAAAACACTAGCTGCTCCATGGGAGCAAGATGAGGCTTTCTATTCCGGTCAAGAGTCACAGCCTTGGAACCCCATAGGGACAGTTCTACCCTGTCCTACAGGGTCACTGTGAGTTGGAATCGGCTCAGTGGTGGCGAGTTTGGTTTTTGTTTGTTTTCAGTTTAACCTAAGACCTGAGCCCTTTGAAGCCTCACCCCTAACCCCACCCCACCCCCCACCCTAGGATCTGCCCAGCAGAGGAATCTCTCTACCCGTGTTTGACCCTAAAACCCACACCCCCTACCTGCCACCATTTAAAGATGGGGAAGCTGAGGCTGCGGGCAGGTGTTGGACCCAGAACTTGAACTCAGATCCCTCTGATGTCACCTCACGGTGCTGCCAGGCTGCTGAGATGGGAGAGAGGAGCTGGGCGGGGGTTTCGGAGTCCCGACCCCCGACAGGGCCCGAGCTGGGGTGGTCCTGGGGATCACCATCTCCAGCTGATCCCCTGGGGTGCCTTCCACAGCCCGCGCTCCTTCGTCAGACCCCCGCCGGGGACCTGGACAAGTTCATCAGTGAATTCCTGCAGCCCACCAGCCAGTTCCTGAGCCAGGTGAACCGGGCCGTCAACACCATCTGCTCCTTCCTGAAGGAGAACTGCTTCCGGAACTCTCCTACCAAAGTGCTGAAGGTGGTCAAGGTGGGTGTCGTGGATGGAAAGGTGACACGCCCACCTGCCAGAAACGTGCGTTGTAAACCTTCACCCTGCTGTGGTCCGGGTAGCCTCGGGAGGCATCGGGGGTTACGCGCTGGGCTGTTAATCGCAGGGTCCACAGTTCAAGCCTGCCAGCTGCCCCTTGGAAGAAAGGTAAGGCTGTCGGTTCCTGGAAAGGTGTACAGCCTTGGAAACCGCACATGGGGCCACTGCCCGTTGAAGTCCACTCAGTGGGGGCAGGTTGAGGGTACTGGTTCTAGACCCCGTTTGGAATAGCGGGTCTTCTTCATCCTGTTCACGCAGTTGTATTTGTGGAGGGTGTGTCTTAAACCAGTCACCTGGGAGATGGAAAAGGACAAACCAAGCAACCAGGGAACAGAGATGGGGGGAGACCTTTACCACACCACGTGCAGATCACCTAGAAACGGACGAACAGAAGCTGAAAAGAGAAGAGGCCCCACCCCAGAGCCAACAGAGAAAGCCTTTATCCTAGAGCCTGGGCCCTGATACTCGGGCACCTCGCCTCCTAAACTGTGAGAAAGTGCATTCCTGTTCGCCAAAGACACCCCCTTGTGGTATCCCTGGTCCAGCAGCGCCAGGAAGCTGAGACAGTGGCTCTGCAGAGGGCCGTGGGCAAAGAGGGTGCTGCAGACTGGCAATTGCGCAGGGACTAAGCAAGGGGGATGACCCCCCTTTTAAACCCACGACCATCTAGTCCATAGTGACCCTGTAGGACAGGGAGCTGCCCTGTTGCTTCCGGGGCTGGAAGCACTTCTGGAAGGCGGTCACCACATCTTTCCCCCGTGGCGCACCTGGTGGGTTGGAACTGCTGAGCTCTCTGTGATTAGCTTCCCACACTGACCCCGTTGTGCGTCCTGGGCTCCTTGCGGTCAGCCATCAGGCCCGTAGCTCACAGGCCACCTGCCGTGTCTCCCCAGGGTGGCTCTTCGGCCAAAGGCACGGCTCTGCAAGGCCGCTCAGACGCTGACCTGGTGGTCTTTCTCAGCTGCTTCAGGCAGTTCGCCGAGCAGGGCAACACGCGAGCAGAAATCATCTCAGAGATCCGAGCCCAGCTGGAGGCATGCCAGCGCGAGAAGCAGTTTGAGGTCAAGTTCGAGATCTCCAAGTGGGAGAACCCCCGGGTGCTGAGCTTCTCGCTAGTGTCCCAGCTGACACCGGACCAGAGCGTGGACTTTGACGTGCTGCCAGCCTTTGACGCCCTAGGTGAGGTGCCCAGGCAGCCGGAAGGGAAAGGACAGAGGTAGGGTAGCCATGCACCGTGGTAGGTAGCACAAGAAGGCCGCACACAGGGCGGTTCAGGGTGTGTGTGTGTATATGTGTGTGTGTGTGCGTGTGTCACAACTTCCCTGCAGATGACAGCAGAGTGTCCCCAGACAAAAGCCTCCCCGTCTTCATCACACAAAGGCATTAGATGGCTACCCACTGGCCCCGGGCAGGGTCCTAATTTCAGCTGTGTCCTGAACATACCGGATGACCTCCCCGACTCTGAGCTGAGCTCCAGTATCTGCATCTAGCACTGAAGAGGTTGAAGTTGCTCACCTTCCCCACGCAGCCCTCGATCCACCAGTCACAGTTCCACTCGACAGAGCCACGTGCCACGTACGCTGGGCCTGACATCCGTCCTGAGCAGGGGTGGGTCGGGAGACTGCGGCTCTTTCGGGATGCGCGTGTGGCGCTGAAGTAAAACCGAAAAGTATGTAAAGGGTGCTGTTCCCATGATGTGCTGTCTTTGTGAAACTCGATCTATGGCTCTGGAATCGTGTTTAAATTGCCGTGAGGGACAGGATTGGCTCTTCCATCTCAAGAGTTTGCCGACCCCTCGGGTAGACGTCGAGAATACAGGCCCAAACCAGGCAGACACAAATCGGTTCAGACATAGTCTCTTCTGAGTGTGTGCGGCAGAGAGGCGATCTCTGTGTCTGCCTGTATTTGGCTCCTAAGTTTGGGGTAGCAAGTGGCAAGAGAGGAAGCCATTCAAACGTCCTTCCCCGAGCGTTTGGATATGGAAAAAAGCCTGTAAGCGGGAGCGTTGGTTGCGTAGTGGTTACGTATTGGGCTGCTACCCACAGGGTCAGCAGTTCAAACCCACCAACTGCTCCACAGGAGAACAGTGAGGCCTTCTACTCCCTGGGAGAGTTACATTCTCGAAAACCCACGGGGGCCAGTTCTGCCCTGTCCTATAGGGTCACTGTGAGTCAGCATTGACTCTGTGACAGTTAGTTAGTTAGTTAGTTAGTTAGTTAGTTAGTTAATTAGTTAGTTAGTTAAGTTAGTTAGTTAGTTTTAAGCGAAGCCGTCAACTTCTCCCCAGCACCACTCAAGTTACCTGCGGGTGACTTTGAGCCTGAGGCCTGCTCTCTGTCAGAAAACAGGAGTAGCTACGGAGAAGATTTTTAAAGATTGTTAGTGCCAAACCTGGACTTTGTTCATGACCAGTAAGGGGGTGGAGTGGGTTGAGATGGGCGGAAGAGGCAGTAAGCTTTTCACCCGAGGTCTAGCCCTGTCCATATCCCCTGGGAGCAGACAGGTGTCTGAGTCAGCCCCACGGGGACTCTGGGAAATGGAGTGACGTGGCCTTCTCCTTGTCTGCAGGCCCGCTGGGCGCCGGCGGCCGGCCCAGCCCGAGGGTCTACATGGACCTCATCCAAAGCTACAGCAACGCAGGCGAATACTCCACCTGCTTCACGGAGCTGCAGCGGGACTTCATCATCTCCCGCCCCACCAAGCTGAAGAGCCTGATCCGGCTGGTGAAGCACTGGTACCAGCAGGTTCGCCACCGGGGCATGGACAGGGCCCCTGGGCTCTATCTCTGGAGACCCTGGGTTGGGTTCGTGGTTTGCTCAGGGCAGTGGGGGTGAGACAGCCCTACCTGGATTGGCTGGGATCATGCAGGGAAGGCAGCTGGTTCTCAACGCTGGGCGCATCTGCCCTGCACCTTATCTTTGCCGAGATGAACCGACCCCTCCTCTTTGTCCTCCACTCCTAGTGCAGCAAGTTACCCAAAGGCAAAGGCTCCCTGCCCCCGCAGCACGGGCTGGAGCTCCTGACAGTGTACGCCTGGGAGCAGGGCAGCGGGGAAGCCCAGTTCAACATGGCCGAGGGCTTCCGGACGGTCCTGGAGCTGGTCAGCCAGTACCGCCAGCTCTGTATCTACTGGACCGTCAACTATGATTCGGAGGACCAGACGGTTGGGGACTTCTTGAAGCAGCAGCTGAAGAAGCCCAGGTTCAGATCCACCCCAGAGCCCCAGGCCTAGGGGCCACTCGCGATCAGGAGGGTACTGAGTCTAGCACCCCATTTCCTTCTAGGCACGATAGCCCTAGCACCCTCGGCCAGGTGCCCAGCTTCCTGGCCTGCTGTGAATAGGAACCCTAAAGTGAGACACAGGAGGGCAAGCGGAATTTAAATTTCAGAGAAGCACCGGGCTCCGTTTTCCGGTGGGTCCCGGACCCTCTTGGGGATATACTTATGCCCAAGACATGGTCACTGCTTTATTTGAGACAGAAACTTAACAGGGCTGCCTGTGTCTGTAGTGGTGAAATCCGTGGGCCAGGCAGCATAAGTCAGTTCCATGCTTGGGGGCTCTGCCAGCCTCTGAGATGGGCAGAGACCCTCAAACACTCATGCGGGTAAGGATTCAGGAGCCCTGTGATGAGAACGCCACTGACGTTGGGATACGTCTGATCTCAGGGGGAGCCCTGGCAGAGTCGTGGGCTGTGTACTGAGCTGCTAACCAAAAGGTTAGGGGTTCGAACCCACCTACTGCTCCATGGGAAGCAGATGAGACCGTCTGCCACCAGCAAGATTTAAAGTCTTGGAAACCCCAAGAAGGGCAGTTCTACTCTGTCCTAGAGAGGCCCCGCAGGTCAGAATCAACTCAACGGCAGTACGTCTGAAGGCTGTTGTGGGCCTTCAATGCAAGAGGGAGAAATGGTTGAGACAGTGCTCTTGATTGATTCATAATGCCTGATTTGTGTGCAAGGACCCCTGGTGGTGCTGAGGGATAAGCACTGGGCAGGTCACGCCACTGGAGAAAGATGAGGCTGGCTTTTCTTATAAAGAGTTACCATCTCGGCCGTTCCGAGTCAGAATTGACTTTGGCTGTGGGTTTGGGGCTAGGCTGGACATGCAGGGAGAGGGCAAGTGAGCACTGTGATCGATTCATGATGTCCGCCCTGGATCCAGACAGCAGAAGCAGCCCGGGTGTCATTTATTTTCGATGCCTGCCCTCAGGTGTGGGCCAGGAGCATGGAGGAGGCTCTGAGTCCAGCCCCTGGCCGCTGCAGAGTGTCAGGGGAGTGGGGAGCATGGCTCAGCAATCCCACGGTGGGAACCAGATGTGCCCAGAGCTCAGACTGACCCTGGTTGGGAATTGCAGGCCCATCATCCTGGATCCCGCGGACCCGACTGGCAACCTGGGCCACAATGCCCGCTGGGACCTGCTGGCTAAGGAAGCTGCCACCTACTCGGCTGCTC